AGCAACCCCTTTGGTTGGTTGAGAGCAACCACAGTATCTATATTTCGGTTGAGATGGCCTCAGCCTGTAAATGACCTTCACAAACCATCTTATGCTGGCAGCGTTAGTAACATTTTGGGTAAAAGACTGATAGCTCAAACAATTATACCTTAATCTCTTATCACACTGTAAGGTGAGAAATTTCAAGGTAGAAAACCAGACAATATCATGTTGGATTATCGATGCTGATTGGAATGTCAGCTTTGCAGTGTCGACAACCAGGGTAAGTTTCAGAATTAGTGGGAGCGGCGTCCTGAGTTCCTCCATCAGATCCTTGCATTATTTCTAGAAGTGAAATTTCAGAAACACCGAATACTTGAACCAAAATCAGGAGGGTGACAGGTGCAGCTCAAACTCCGTTTCCGCGTCCCACTGTCCCAAAGCTCATCTGTACCAGTATTACTTCTATATCTTATATTTGACCCGAGGGCAGTAAGGGTTCTTCATTTACACAACTCCCGTAGCTTTCCCGCAACCTGGTCGAGACGTGAAAGCCAGAAGCTCCCCTTTCTGATGATGGAGGATGGGGTATAATATGCGACAGCTAATCAATTCGGGAGCAAAGCATTCACCACAGAAGAAAACTGCCTGTGGTTCTAGACGATTAGCATGCGGGATCTTCTTCTCGGGTGACCAAAAACTATGAGACTTTTCCCTGGCCAACGAATGTCCCAGACCGAGAAATTATACAAGTAAAAATTGGATAATTCAATATCTTTGACCGCATCTGTCAGTTTCTTTAAGCCCCAGCCGAGGTAGAACTTAAGTTATATATGCTAGTGGCATAGCGGCGTTAAAATTCCCTTGAGAATTTCACAAGGAAAGAAATTTCACTTGTTTGTATATAGCGGGCTGTAACCAAATTAAAGACAAGCTGACACCAAGATCCCGATGCTTACATCGAAGTTTTGGACTCTGCCTTGGTTGCTGACCATTATTGTCCTTACTAGATCTAATAATGTCTGCATCGTCCGCTCAAGTAAACATACTTTCTTTCTGTCACAATTTAATATTTAGCCTGAAAGTGCCCAATTTTTTCTTAAGGTATGCCAGAATTTGTTTTATTAGCTTTTTGAACATATGAGAGGCACAATTTACCCTAAACGGTACAGCATTGTATTGGAAGAGCTGTCCCTTGAATATGAATCTGAAATATATTCTATGACTCTCACTAACGGGTAGCAAAATCCCTGCATATTCCAACTCCAGATTCGTTAAGAAAGTATCTCTACGGATAAGCCTGATCCCAGTTCAATAGCCTAGACTTAAGTGTTATATCCCTGTAAACAGACAAAGTGCCTTGAGGAATCAAACGCATTGAGCCATCCGACTTGGGGGCAAGAAAAAGTTAGATAGGTGCTGATTTTGGTTAGCTTTAATTTTTTACTGATAGCACCGCAGCTAAGCAATTGAGAGACTGTCGAAGGTCGGTAGTTCATGGATGGACTTATGGATTCAGCTGTGGTAAAGTGCTGAACCAGTCGCCATGTGAATGGCAAGTGACCACTTGAATCGAACTTCGACGAAGACTTCACATAACTAAGATCGAACATCACTTACAGGTAAGTTCTTTGGATCATGTAATTAAAAACGCAACAAGGATAAAATAAATTAGATATTATCTCTAATCATATTGAAATAGTACATGTTGTTTAAGAGATGCAAATTTGATAAGGCAAGTCTTGATTGTTTAGTCAAGTTTTGTAACTTTAGATCTGCTTTGAAAAATTAGGCTGCTAGTCATTTGGAATTTTAAACTAAATCTACATACATTCAGGTTAAGCTCCACTGTTTGAGGCAAATCCTCTCGCCGGCCTAGCAGAAAACTTTATCACAGAAGTTAGAAATTAGCGATGGTCCGTGAAATTAGGTAGAGGATGGAGGTGTTGTCCTAACTGGGGCTCTAACACGCCAGAAAAAGAAATACAATCGGCTCTAATTTATTGAGAGCTGGGATACTGAAATCGCCTCACTACAAATCTGATTCCGTGCCTGCGTAAATGCGTTCCTTTTATCAGGTTATTAACGAAAATGCATCATAAACACAGAACGTATGGACCTCTTAGGGGTGGAAACTCACACAAAACATTATTATAGTAGAATAGATTTATCATCATTTCGTATGCTCTTATGCTATGGCAAAATGTACACGCGACTTTGTTATGAAATAATCTTCTGGGGAAATTTCTCTAATATAAATTCTGCCCTATATCGCAAGAGAATATCGTAAGACAAATATTTAGCATTCAAGGAAGGAATAGCTGCAGGCATTGTTTTATATATAATACTAACTGTTATACCTTATAAACATATATTTTAGTGCTCTATATTATCCTGAAAATCATTTGGAGAGCTATACACTTCTTTTCAAAAAGGTCCGCTCCTACGTATTTGTTAAACGAGTCAAGTTAGTTGGAATTCCTACACAAGTAACGTGAAAGTCGCAAATGAACACTTTAGAATGGCGGCTAGACGCCATATTGGAATATTTTTTTGAATGGAATGGTGGTCATGCGATATCTCATTTCAATGCTATCGATGAGTCCGGTGTTATTCTAGAATATAGAATCACGGCCTTCAAAAATGGCGGATTGAAATGCAGTCAAAGTTGAGCGTTTTTATACATTAAATTGCTTGTAACTCAACAATCAATCATATAGTAGATATCTATTAATCTTCTTCTCTTGGAAGGACCCTCTTAAAGGTGTCACAATATATTAAATACTCTTTCAAAAATATGTCACTTTTTTTGAACGGACTGTCCCATATTTTATTACAGTTATTACTCACTTAACGAGTTTATCAACTAAATGTGATTGTTCATGCTAGAAATACTTAAATGTTTGTATATTTGATTCGAGAAAATTATTTTAAATAATGTTATGTGCTTCAATAATTTTATGCAACACCTTTCTATATTACAAACTGTACTCTTGTGAATGTTAGAAACAATTAAGTATTTTCCCTGTACAACTACAGGTTTCTTGCAATTTGGTGACTCTCTCACTCATACTGTATATATTTTTTATCCTGTTGCTTATCCGAAGTGTACTGACTTGAAAGAAAATCCATTGAATATTATCGTCTACCCTGAAGACCAACGCGGTAACCTTGAAAGTATTTTGATGCTTATTATTTCGCACCCAGCACCATCCTTGCGATTCTGGCTTGTGCATCTTGCATTCTGGAGGAGGGTGGGTTTAGGAGAAGAATAACAACCTTATCCGACCGCCAGGCTGAAATGAAGGCACTACGTGCCTGTAAGATTACTTCGAGTCTTGTATTGCAATGCAGGAAGGCTCTGGATTGCCTCGCAGCGAGGCATCCGGTATCGTTAATGTGGGTACCGGAGCACGCTGGAATTAAGGGGAAATGGGACGGCGGACGCTCTGGCGAAGGTAGGACCTGCACGTTATGAGAGTGGCTAAGGATCCCTTGAGTGAGCGCTGCGGGGTAGAGGAAGAGACCTCGGCGTACGTTCTGTGTCGCTGTCAAGCCCTGAGTTACTATAGGCAGACCATACTGGGGTCCATTACTTTAGACCATCAGAACGCTAAGGAGGTTGGACTCAAGGCCATACTTAACTTCGCTAAAAAGGCGAGGCTTGTGATCTAAGGAATGTAGAGGTGCATAAGAGCCCGTTTAAGCGGCCTACGCACTGGCTCCTTATGGTAGCCGGAATGTCTCTAGTTTCACGACTCATTCATTCATTCATTCGTAGCCAGTGGTTATTTGTGTGTCTCTTACTAATATGACCGAAAACATAAAACTTCATACTAAGAATATTGCGCAAGGTAACAACATTTCCAAGATACAGACCTTCAAGTTTAGTCAAAAAATTATAAGTAGATACTATAACTGGTATACTTGTACAACCCATACACAAGCGTTAAAATGTTAGAAACAATGCATTTGGGTCGGAATCGTCCTATTAGACACGTCTTCATTCATACGTCCGTAATTCTAGATCTATCTCAATCTTTCAATAAAACATCCAACTTTATAATTTCGATGAAAGTGATTTCAATCTTTCGTCAAATAAAGCCAAAGTTTCGGAAAATTCTAACTTTACCCGCTCACTTTTTTGACATCTTTCTATATAAACATTGCCCTCAATTCGATTATACACTGAGTAGGAAATACCACCGACATCGTAATATGTAATACGTGTGTTAGAAAGAAATGGAAGCACCTCGTTGCCTAGCAATTCGAGTACGGGTTCACGCATGCCATCGGCGCACTATTTCTAACATACACATTGCACGCTTCTCGCGTTTCTCTCTCTCTCATACACATTACGACGTCAGCCAAATTTGAACATCACCGTATGTTGAATGTGCACGGAAAAGATTGTACTTCCACCAGTTCATGAATTAACCTATGAGAGTAATTTCAAAATAGTTTTATTGGCAATCCTTTCACACTCTAGAATCTAAATCTAAATGCCTGCATGGTTCGTGCTTTGAAACTAAGAGATATTAGACATAATGTATGTAACTGTCGTGTCGATGCAAGCTAGTTATTTTTTATTTCACATAGCTCAAAATGGTGTGACTACATTCAGTAATATGAATGCCATGCTTTTTCCAGTAAATAGAATCGGTGATAAGGTTTTGTTGTTGGAAATTTGTAGTCAATGTGGATTTTTCAGAAAATGTATTTAAATCTTTCATTATCTAGAACAGAATTTGAGTTACGACGTTACCTTATCAATCGAAAGTTAGTGTATCTCAAATTCTATTCTAGACAATGGAAGTCCGGAACAAATCTTTTAAGACGAGCTTCTGTTTCTCAATGTCAGATGTTAATTCAATTTGCATGAAAACGAAAGTTTTATAGTTCCGTTTTGATATCTTGTCATTCGCATATTCTAGTCAATCTACGCCTCCGCATCAGCCTGGCAGTTTTGAAGCTGAAATATGCAGGAATTGGTTGTGGTGGATGAGAAAACAAAAAACAGCTTTCGAACGGCATTTAATCGTCAATGGATTTAAGTTTACATGGTGGCGACCATTTTTTTCAACGCTCGCAATCATGTGCTACAAATGAATAAATAAATAAAAATAAATAAATAATCTGTACAACTTTCTAAAATCTAGACTAGGGGTGTGTAGGTTATTACTTTAGATCCTTACGTATATGCAGTTCTCGTAATAATGAAACGAAGTATGTTTATAGTAAAATCTGAACTTTAAAAGAACAGTGGAAGTCAACCTCGTTATAAGTGAACAGCGTATACGAAAGGCGTAGTTCTCTACGTTTGTGGCTAGGACGTGACAAGGGCCATGTTGAACCCATGACGAGCTAATCATAACACTATGATGTTCTGTGCGTTATACTAGGACTAAGCGCATACAGCAGCGCTAGTGACCACGGTGAAACCATAGCAGTTTAAATGGGCTGGTGCTCTCTTATTTTCGGCGAAAAAGTTGTTGCTGGTAGCTTAAACCTAATTTATAATTTACTTATAAGAATATCAAATGTGATCTTTAAGGGCAATATAATAGTTTTTGGTTATTTTAATTTAAATTACTATTTACCAGCGTGAAAACAAGGAAATTGAGAGAAACTATATAACTATACCTTCAAGCAAAAAATTGAAGACAGTAGAAGCATTACATCATGATCTTATCACTGTAAATTTCAAATATGCAGGGACTAAAGCTGAGCTGAGTATTGTTAGCTCTGGAAAACTTGAACGAGAACTTGCTTGCCTGCTATTGGAATTTTGGTGAGAATGTAAAAGAAATATAGGTAATAGGTAATATATAAAAGTGTTAAGATGTTGCATTTGATGGAAAGATTATTTGCTCGACAATGTTTATTTTCAAAATCAAACGAAGCTTGGGTTTTCCATCGAGGTCTTGAATATCTCTCTTTGTATGTAGTTAGATGAGGAAATACATACGATAAACAAATCAATAATAACAAGCATGACAGTGTGGGATAATTTAAAAAGATGAATTAATGAACTGCTGTTGCAAAAGCTTCCAAGTACAGTGGAAGTTATCGTTTTCGCGTCATGACCATCGCCTACGCTTTAATTGGTTGATTTTAGGTATAGAAGCACTATCCTGTAGCAAGCAGTTCAGTGTTTTCCTGAAATTGGTTTGCCTGTGTTCTTCAATTTGGTCGGGTTTCTATAACAAACGTGATCTTCTTCAACCGGACGACAATACTTCGAATTATTTCTATTTACCTTTACCTATGTGACGCATGCATTTTTTTGGGCAAGATTTGTCATAAATCGTGATTATTACCAACAATATAGACCCAAGAGATTTGAGGTTATGTTCAAAGCGCAAACTATAGGAGTCACGATCATAGAAACAATATGTCCATGGTAGTAAGTTTTAGACAAATTATCACAGTTAGAGACGGTGCTATGGCTAGCTAGTCACGGAGTGAACATGGCCAATGTAGATAAGAATCAACAGAAGTTAGTCTACGCGTATGTAGACCTGTGTAAAACCAGGAGCGTCCCTTTCTGGTCGTTTACAAGCTATTAGCACTTCATGGTAGGGATGGGCGCATCGAAAACTGCATGATGACTACATCTATGTTGACATCGGAACGAAACACCGCTAACACTCAAACGATAAATCAGAATAAACTTTGATAATATAAAGAACTGTCTTATCGCAATCGTGGCGTTTCATTTATGTTTCTGTATTCTAATTTTTCTGTCTGAAGGTATAGTTATGTACGAATGTATCAAAGTATATTGAATAGTCAAAAAAAAACAAAAACACTTGACCCCTTCAACTTATTTAGAATGAAGTGAATTCTCGGGAGAAAAAGTGCAGTAGTCTTGTCCAGGTGCATAGTTTTATCTCTAAAGACAAAGTTGCCTTTATGATGAATCGTCTAACGTTATGAAGAACCTACGAACACAACGTTACGAGAGGTATCAGAATTTGGGATCATTCCCTAGGGAGAAATCTATTTTACTCTGATCAAGAATTCACCTACCTGATTCCAATCAGAACCAAGATAGCTAATAGCATTCCACATCAGAAGAAAACGGATCATTGTACGGAAGTTTCAGTGTTTTTGTCCATCGCTACCTTAAAGACATATCTAATTCCCCGATTCTATATCCCAAGATTCATAAATGAGTGACTTATTTAAACTTTCTAGCTAAGACTAGCTTGTTGATATCATTGAAGGTGGTGAGCATTGCAGGACTGGGTTTGTTCTCAGACATCGATGGACATCCACCATATGCCGAGCATTGTCCACCGTCTTGTCCATCTTTGGCAGCTTTCATGTATCGGAAGAATCGCAGAATATCCGGGTTGTCAGATGAAGGTTTTCTCAGCTCGTTTAGTTCCCTGTGAACACATAAAAATTAATGAAAAATTACCAAGAAACAAAGCACACTGAAAAAAACTAGCCAACTGCGCAGATTACTAAGTGAAGCAATGGTTCTGCTAGATCAACCTGGTACAGCAGATCTTAGTTTGATCCTGCTTAATGAACTTCTCAGATTTTTGGGAGCACATTTACTGTCCGCAACCGCTTGTTTTCTCCTTACGAAAAGCTAACCTCAGTTAAGAAATCATCCGAGTCACAACAAAAACCACTTTTTTATTACTACGATACGATCATAGACATAAGCATAGTAGTTAACATATCTACTATTTAACACACATTCTTCAGCAAACCCACTCGCGATTTATTTTTTAACATACTAAATTGGATATAAAATACTTTTTATCCATTAAACTGATTACACATGGCAAGATCAAAATTTGTTTGCAGTTAGCAAACCATTGTCTCAGTGCAGTATCCGCCTCTATCAAAGGTATGTAGTTCATGAAAATGAGGTAGCACACCTATGTCTGTTGTTGCCGGATCTGGCTTTTCATTACTTTTTTGATACCCTCAAAATTGCTAGATTGGAAAGCACCACAGTGTATAAGGATGGGATTGGCAAATATGCCGATATGGAGAGAGTTAACAGTAAACATCATCTAAGGTGTTAAAAACTACGTGGGGGCCAAATTCAGCTTCCTTGAGTTTTTCAGTACGTTGAAACTATTCTTGTAGGTGTGCGCAGACTCCGATATGCCTGATTGGTCAAATGTTTTAATGAGCTTCTATAAAATTTCATAACGGTAGCGATCTCTATAACTGTTAGATGATAGCATTGAGGAAAATGCAATGGTTTCTTGTCTTTATGAAAGTATATGAAATGTTTTACACTTCAATGCTACAAAGAATACATAAATCATGAAACAACCCTCAAGTGACCTACATCCGTGCTTTCATTAGCAGTACGCTTTTTTATTAGGTGGCTACACCAGTCAACTGTTTTTATTCGAAATGAGGTGTCGTTTAGACTTTGCATTTTTTTATTTATCCCCCTGGGTGCAATCAGATTCTCAATCGGTTCTTTGCTTTATGCGCCATCGGCATTTGAATGTTTCTGCGGAAATAAGATTACAGGTTGGAACGTAAGTTGCGGCTTTTCCCTCTTAAATCAAAAAACGATTCGGTTAAGACTGTAAAAGGAAAAAAGAAATTCTACAAGGCTTCATCCCTCTCGACATTTTGAGTCAGGATACGTGCTCTTATATAAATAGCGTTTCACAGCAATTTAGTCCAGGCAGTATCTTCGCATTCTGAACAAAAAATATTCTTCAGAACTCTTCTCTTGACTTGATAGCCTTCGACACATGAGCAATACAGTATTTGAAAAATTGCAAAGTATGGCATTTTCGACTAAGAAAACAGTATGCAAAATAAGAACTTAAATTTTGCCGAACTTCTCCAACATTCATTAGATTCTGTTAACAGCAATTTCGGAGTTATTGTTATTGTATAAATTTGTTTTCTAATTGTTGGAGAAGCGCGCTCTCACTGTATTCTGCGTGAGCGGGATAGAGATGCAGCAATATGGGCGGCCGCCATCTGAGCACGAAATGAAAAAAGAAAAGAAATCCACTCTTCACTTACATCTACTGCTAGGGAGGAGCTAAGCCAGTTTAGAGATAATTACCGACACTGAGAAATAGGTGGAACTAAAGGAAAATTGAACCGATATATGCTTTTCAGAACGCCATATTTCTCTATTGTCTCAGACTGACTGGGCTTGGATGTCACATGTGGCAACCATTCCAAACAAATGTATTTTTTTAGTTTAATTTTTCAGGGCTTTGCTACATAAACGTGCCGTTGTTTCAGAAGCAAATCCTTAAAATGCCGCAATAGCACGTAAGAAAGACTACTCGAGCGCTTGTTTCACAAAACATCTGCCACATGCTGGGTATCGGATTAAAACTATCTCAAATACATGTGCATTTTAAACCATATACCCCAAAACATATACGTTTTCGTATTTTTCACGAAAAATTTTTCCCCCTTTGTAAAAACCTATTCTGCGCGCCGGGAGACAATATAACCTCAAGCTAAGATCTAGTTCTTTTTCCCTTGTATAATAAATAAATATATTAGGTGAAAAACATTTTTATACCAGCAAGATAACATTTGCGTTGTGTCTATACTTCTATTTATGAAATTCTTGATATCATGAGCTATAATGGAAGTAGTGCAGGACCTTCATTCGTGTGACATGACAGCTCGGGTTATCAATTTACTGTGAAGGATAGCGGCGCATGGCATGACCGGACTAAAGTTAGCAAATATAAGCCTGCACTTTCAGTAAATATGGAAAAACTATGTATGCGGGGCAATACTATATTCCGTACTGACAATAAGCCCCAAAATGAGGTACCACATGACCTTGTTTCCATTCAAAAAACGTTGCTAGGCGCCAGTTTGTAATCTTCATCAACTATTACTCCAAGATATAGGTAGTATCCATGCATCAATCTGAAGACGCTAAACCTCAGCTTGCGCCCCAAGATAAATACTGCGAGTATATGCCTGCAAAGAACAAGCACTGTATAGTCAACGCCAAACAAAGTGGCGTGCACGTCATCACGATAAAAATTCCCCGACCTAATGCCTAGGTTTCTATCACAAACAATTGCTCTATTGCAGTTTCATATTAATGTGATATATAAATTGTAAAATGGTCATTACTCTCTTATTATGGTTAATAGTCATATAAACATTGTTATTAAAATATCACATAAGTTGCTTTCTGATAAATTTAGACGCATTTTGCGAAATAAAATGTTTTGCAAACGCTTCAATCACTTATCGACATGTAAACGCACTAAACCGATTTCGCAGCGTTGACACATTGTCACCTTGAAACTTATTTAAACTGGGAACTGACATTTGCATTAATTTTGACACTGAATCAATTTGTGGCATTTCAAATCTTTATAAATCCTTTGGCCCCGCATACTGTAAATCAACAACTGTTTGTTTCAAAACAAAATTATTCATTTTACGAGTAGATAAAGGCAATTTTGGTATATAAAGATGCCCAAACAGTTAAATAGTCGGTGTAAGAAACTCGTGGCCTCGTTAATGCACTACTTTGAGCAAGAAAGGGACAACAACGGGCCTTTGTTGCCTTTAAATGCTGTTCAAGAGGTAGGTTACTAATAATTATATGTAATGTATATTAATAATAGTGAAATTTTATTTCATTTTTTGTAGCGTGTTGCTGCTGCTTTAAAAATTAGTTTAAGGACAGTTAGTCGTATTTCCGAGGGTGTGAAAAGTGATGCAAATTTAGAATCGCCCAAGAAAAAGCGGAGTTATATTAAACGTGTAACCAACACAGCGACATTGGATACAAGTGCCATTCGAGAAGTGATCTATAATATGTATCACAAAAGTAAGATCTTATTATAATAACTTATCAGAAATTTGCATTAATTTGTTAACTAAATTATAATGTCATATTACACATGGTTTCAGAAGAACAAGTTACGATACAAACTTTATGGTCTCGATTAAGAGATAGTGCATTATTTGATGGTAGTGCCACGTCTTTAAGGCGGTTGCTTAGAGATCTTGGATTTAAGTGGCTTAAGGACAATCCGCGACGAGGGCTCATGGAACTACCAAGTATAGCTTTGAAAAGGGTGGAATTTCTAAGGCAATGCAATCAAGCCAAGGTTGAGGCCTTATACCAGTTTGTCTTCCTCGATGAAACTTGGATATTTCAAAATGGGACCATAGGTCGCTCTTGGCAAAATGGAAACCAAAAAAGCGTGAAAGCTATTAAAACAGAGGGTAAAAGGTATATACTTTTACACAATTTGCACTATAAAATTTAAAACTAATATATTTTAGATACATTATATTACATGCTGGAAATGAAAATGGGTTTATTGAGGGTAGTGAAGCGATATTTTCTTCGAAAACAAAATTGAGCGATTACCATGGAGAGATGAACCAGGACAATTTTTTGAAATGGTTTCAACATCAGTTATTAGAAAAATTGGAGAGTCCATCTATGATTATACTGGATAACGCCCCTTATCACAGCATGATATTGAACAAAGTGCCCAACAATGCATGGACAAAAAAAAATATCCAAGACTGGTTGACAAATCAAAACATACCATTTTTAAACACAATGTTTAAAACATAGCTATTGAGTATTGTTGCTCGGTACATAATGCTTCTTAATTATATATATTTTGGTCGACAGTTTATATTTCTTTTGTTTATTCCTATTCTTAAAATAACTGCTTTTTTAGAAACAAACCACCTAAAATATACGTGATTGATGATTTGGCGGAACAACATGGGCACAAAGTTCTTCGTCTGCCTCCTTACCATTGTATATTTAACCTTATTGAGTTAATTTGGGGCATAGCAAAAGGTTACTATAACAGACATATTGGTAGAGATGGTAACAGTGAAAAAGACTGTTTGGATATGTGGAACGAGGCTCTACAAACGGTTACCCCAGACATGTGGAAAAATAGTGTTCGACATACTGAGCAAGAAATTTTTAAATGGTATGAAAGAGAACGAATTTTTGATCGACCAGACATCGAACCTTTAATAATCAACTTTGAGAGTGACGAAGATTCAGATTCAGACAGCGCTGAAGAAAGAAACTCCGACTAACTTTATTGTACAGAAAAAGCTTACACCAGTAGCTTACCTAATTTTAGAATGCATTTTTCTGTATGAATTCTGTAAAATAAATACCATGCATAAAATTTGGAGGACCCCATTTGGATTTTTATTCAGTACCTTTAAGCTATCAATTAAATATGGTAGTTTCATAGTGTCATCTGATCAATAATTGCCATACTTAATGATTATGCAAGTACAGATCTATAATTTTATTATACTATTATTTTTGTTCTCATTTGAGGTTAATATTGCTTATAAACCTAGATATGTGAATAATAAATTTTATTATTTTACAAAAAGTTTGGCAACAATGTAA